AAAAGATCTATGAACAGAGCGGAAATTGAACCTGGAGACTAATTCAAACAAATTCGGCTTCGGTAAGTAGGCATCGTTGTGGTTTTCCAGTAATAGGCTTTGGTAATCCTAAGTTATAATGCGCCTCCAGCTGGTATCGACCATGTATGTTAAGTATAAGTATGGCATTATCGACGATTTTATAACGATTTACTTTCTCGTAAACACCATTATTATTATCATTATTATTGTTATTATCATTATTATTACTATTATTACCGCTATAATTATAATTATTATTATTACCACTTACTGTTACGCAAAACCTGCCAACTGTCAGCACAGCCACTAATTTTTCATCAGACTCTATTGATAGGCAAGTAACAACTGGAAATTTGCATTTCAGGATCGAAAGGCCTGGCATAGCTGCGTCTCAGCCACACGGAAGCATCCCAGTAACATCACTAACATGAGATTCTACTCCCGGAAGATCTTGTCATCCCTTGATAATCGCTAATCAGCGTCAGTTATTTTGTTTTTCATAAATTAGCTGTTTTATTATCAATATTATCTCCAAATTTATGAATTTGGGTAAAATTACCTGTAAGCATAGGGCCCCTTCGCTGCAATCGAACGGTGCATCGGTGACGAGATCTTTGATCGCATCAACAATCTTCTTCAGTGTTGCAGCACTAGCAAGTTTCGCTTCGAACATTTTTGAAGTGTACACCACCAGTGATCTGTGAAACTGAAATAAAACTTTTTCTAAGAAAAAAAAAAAACGGATTTAACAACTGCTGTTCGGAAAAGCACGCAATCCGGCAGCGCCATTTTTTCGCATGAACTAAAAAATGTATCTGTATAGTGTGTGTGTGTGTGTGTGTGTGTCTGTATATGTGTGTATGCATGTATGTATTTTTTTGTAATGATTTATGTGTATGTATGTGTGCGTATGGGTGTGTATATATGTATGAGTGTATATATGTATATGTGGTAGTTATTACGGTAAGCTTTAATGTTAATTTGTATGAATGTATGTATGTATGTGTGTATATATGTATGTGTGTACGTATATACTTATGTATCTATATATGTATATGTGTATATTTATGTATTTATGCATGTGTGTATGTATGCATATATATGCGTATGTATATATGTGTGTACGTGTATGTACAAGCATATGTGTTGCGTATGTATGTGTGTATGTGTGTGTGTGTGTGTGTGTGTGTGTGTGTCCATGTATGTGGATATGTCTATCTAACAGCTTAAATTCGGAAGACGGGGCGCTGAACAAAACTGCACTTCCCAGCACTAATTTCATGCATAATGAGGGATGAGTACTTCGAAATTATCATCAAACCTCACCGCAACAATTGCCGATGACCCCAGGTAGGTATCAAGCCAGGCAACCCACGGCCAATGACCTAAATCCCAAGCCAGATGACCAATGACCGGAAGATCTGATGACCACACGGACGGAGCCCAGGGAAATAGTACCAGGCCACCCAGCAAATCGAAATTCCTACGATTTCTAACAAAACCTAGGCTGGAACGCACCAGGCGAGCCGGAGCGATCATGCGTTTTTGCACAAAACTTGA